AAAAAAAAAAAAAAAAAAAGTTTATTTTGCTTGAGAGTCACATTTTTATAACTGTACAGCTTTTAAGGGATGAGAAGTGGAAAAATACCCTAAAATAGGATGTAGATTTTTACAACTGTGTTTATGCTAGAACATCTACAGGTGCATTATGTAATTAAACCTAAAATTGTTTTAAAAAAATTGTGCCATGGTCTTTTTCATTCTCCTGCCCTTTAGCAGAGTTGGTGCATATCAATACTGCTATATGGACAAGCTTTGAAATTAGGCAAATAATCCTTGTCTCCAAAGTTTTAAGATCATTGCATGAAAATTACACACACACACACACACATAGACACAGGTAAGCACAGAGGCTTAGTTTATGTTAATGTAAATGGATTTTCCTACTTTGAAACAGCTATAATGGTCCCAGTTTGGCAGTTAAGAGCATAGTCTTTCCGTGTGTGATTCTCGTGATGCCTGACTAGGATGTTCTCAGTGCTGTCTGGTGTTTTGTCTTCTTACTGGTAACAGTGCCTGAATTGTAGCTCGCCCAAACCTGCCGGGAGGTTTTGTATACACCTTGAAAGGGAGTGTCCTGTGCTGGGGTTGGGGGTGGGTGGGGCCGAGGTTGGATTCTTCTCAGTCTGTAAAAGAAGGAAAAACTAGAATTGCTCGATTTGGTTCTTGTTCAGTAGACTGAATTCCACAGGAATATTTGCTGGAAGCATGGCAGGAATGGATGTCAGCTTCAAATTCCAATTCCCTCATTTGATAAAAGACGTCTTCTGACGTCTTGTAGAGCTGCCGATTCTAGCCGTCTTAATGGCACATTTTACCATAAGTTATATTAAGATGCCTTTGTTTAAATGCCAGTACATTTTGTCATCGGATAATTTTACCATTCTAATTTCTCACCTTTGTGTAGCACAAGTGTATTCTTATAAAGCATTAAGTTGATCTACGTGTGTCACAATTTCTACCCAAGTGAACTTTATTGTCAGTTAATGTGGGATGTCAGTTTCTTGGCTATCATCATCTGATCAGAGGTGAAGCCTGGGAATCGAATTTCCAGGCGAAGGATACAAATTCCAGATAACAATTTGTGAGTGGTATACGTTAGATTTTCATTTTGATTTTAAAGTAATAGCTGGAATTCAGGGAGTGTTTGATCAGAATGCCTCTTGGATTTTCAAACATGCTTATATGAAATGCTTTATTTTCCTATGCATAAAGCAAATTACTCCTGTAATAGGTTCTCAGAATGCTTTATTTTGTTTCTAGGAGATAAGAGCTAAAGCAGAAGCTCCAAGATTAACATAAAACTGTTGAGGTAATCAGGAACGTGCTATTAGTCAAATAGAGGAAGCTGGAGTGCTCCCTACCACGTATATTGTTCTGCATGTGAGTGGG